CGGAAAACATTAAGGAACACCTATAAATATATTCAGTCTTAAAACTACCTAAATTTGGTTAACGTGTCCTCGGACCAAGGATCTGTGAACTGGCGTTCACTTAGAGTTTGTATACTCTTGGAAGTCAAGCTTCCTCTGTGCAAGGTGCCGTGTGACCCGTCACATATATACTCCAACCTAGAAATGGACGCGGGTCCCTCACGAAAAATTAAGTGCTTAGTTTTCACTTGTGACCTATATGAGGTTCAATTCTATCAAAACTAGTCAATAATACTGGACTGGACATTAAGCTCTCGATACTGAAGCAATCAGATCACGTGTCTCACGGACCTCTTCATTACAGAGTCCAGAGTCATACATAATAGTGCTTTGATTTGTAGAGTCGGGCCAATTGCACTAAAGTGAAAGGAAGATGTACACAGCAATACGCTACGTACTCCATTCCTGCTATCTTTCTCGCCCTAGTCAACCTATTAAATTATGGCCAATTTGTTCCGTAAAAATGTTTATAGCCAAATGGCTTTCCATTAGTCATTGTTCTAGACCATTTTTGCCGCTCACAGCAAAGTTTCGGCGAACGAGATAAAGTGCCTGGCTCCAGAGGGAGCATACCCATCACAGACAAACATTAGACGGAACGCGTTCATCACCTGTGAGATATGAAACCCATTTTCTGAATGACCACGATGCTAAAGCATAATACCCCCCACTCATTATTTTTATACGAAAGCACATACTTTGACACGCTTTATCTCATTTTTTATACGGTTTGGTTGACCCCCGTGCCTCCTTGTCATCCCCACGTGGCAGTTGTGGTCTTGATCGGAAAAGAGGTGGCGACAGTGATCTCCTTGATGATAACAGCCCGACTTAACTTCGTAGCAAAGTTGATGATCTATCTTGCAAGGAATAAGTGTCTTAGTTTGAGAGCGTGACGCAATGTTCAAACGTCAGTATTTGCTATATCAATATTAAGATACTAGGTGGATATGACACACTAATCGATCCGTAGTCGGCCGTTAGCTTACCTGCATATTCACTATGAGACTTGATTGCGCTCTCGCTGCACTGTACTTTCACAAATAGAAAGATGCGATTGAGCACGCTTTGCACAGACATCCATGCGTTGTATATATGAAGGACTTTTCGTGGAGGTTAACTAGAGTCGGCAAATGTTTTGAATAGCGCTCTTGTGTGTGGTAGCTGTAGCTCGTTGTAGTGGTAGCCTTGCCACCCAAGAATCAGACGACATTCAATCAACGAATAAAATCAAGTTACCATTCATTTTGCCATCTACCAATCGTACTTTTGATAGGATAGTTTCTCAATTGACGATTCTCTGACTTTATTTTACCAAAAATACTAGATAAATCCTACTATACATCATTTCCGGTTAAAAACTAAAGAACACACACTTCTCCTAGCGATGTCAGATCTAATTCCTAAGGATGCGTTCTCATCCGTCACTGATGCTTTAGCCATTGTCTCAGACGCTGTATGCAATGCATCTCTTGTATCTAATACACTCTCTGCTCTTCCTTTCAGTAATTCAACAAAATTCTTGGCTGTAGCTGGTGTCGCAGCGTTTGGATATTACGTTGATCAAAAGCTCTTGATCTCTTCGGATCTCTATCATTCGGGCATGCAAGCGTTAGCATTACTACAAGCCAAACGTTATGCATGGAATGGTCATTTAGTACCAGATTTGTTTGAGCAAAGTGTCGAGAAATGGCCACATAAACCTTGTATCCAGTTAGGACGACGTATACTAAGCTTTCAGGATGTTGACCATGCTGCTAATCGTGTAGCACATTGGAGTCAAAAGCAAGGGATTAAACGTGGCGAGACAGTTGCATTAATGATGGAGAATCGACCTGAATTTATTATTGTGTGGCTTGGTTTAGCCAAAGTTGGAATTGTGACAGCGTTATTGAATACGCACTTACAACCTGATGGACTTGTTCATTGTACTCGAATTGCTGATACAAAGTGGATGATTGTAGGTGAAGAATTAGTTGAGAAAGTAGCAGATGTGGTGAATCGAATGAAAGAGATGAAATTCTATATCTATGGAGACGGTAAGATGTCAAAGTATTGAGATAGTTCACTTTTTGAGAACTAACGTGGTTACTTTAGGATCTTTAACTTCACAAAAGGCTGCAACGTATTTTTCGCAAGCGTGTTCATTGGATGTCGAACTATTGAAAATGACTACAGAACGACCATGTACAAAAGTTCGACGCGAATTATTAACGTCGGATGTGGTTCTGCTCATTTATACAAGTGGTACAACAGGTTTCCCAAAAGCTGCTCGTGTGAATCATTTTAGTCTCATCTTGCGCTCTTTGGTATTTAAATACTCAATGCATTTGACAATCAATGATCGATTGTATTGTGCCTTACCATTGTATCATACATCTGGTGGAACTCTTGCGGTTGGACTTATGCTTTTTTCGGGTGCTACACTTTGTTTATCGCGACGATTTTCAACAACCAAGTTTTGGGACGAAGTTCGGGCATATAACTGTACAGTTATTCAATATATTGGTGAAATGTGTCGCTATTTAATGAATGCACCGATGAAACCAAATGATAAACAAAATCATGTACGTGCAGCTTTTGGAAATGGATTGCGTCCCGATATTTGGGCTCCATTTCAAGAACGATTTGGAATACCATCTGTCTATGAATTTTATGGCTCAACAGAAGGTCCAATGGGCTTATTAAATGCTTGTACGACGAAAGCAGATCAAGGTCATCTTGGTCAACGTGGTTATTTAACAAATCTCATTACGGGAGTTGCTATTGTCAAGTATGACGTTGATAAAGATGATTATATTCGATCAAAAAATGGATTTCTTCAGCAATGTGAAGTGAATGAACCAGGAGAACTTCTTGTGAAAGTAAACAAGAAAGATCCAGCACGAGGATTTCAAGGTTATTATAAAAATCCAAACGAATCAAATCAAAAGGTTTTAACCAATGTCTTTCGAAAAGGTGATATGTATTTTCGAACAGGTGATTTGTTTAAAGAAGATGAAAGACATTGTTGGCACTTTGTTGATCGTGTGGGTGATACATTTCGATGGAAAGGCGAGAATGTGGCAACAAATGAAGTCGCAGAGACAATCTCCAAGTTTCCTGGTATAGAGGAAATTTGTATTTATGGTGTTCAAGTACCAGGAACTGATGGTCGAGCGTGTATGGCTGCTATGGTCTTTGATGACAAATTGTTTAAGTGGATGGAATTTTCGAAATTTGTGAAGCAACAACTTCCATCGTATGCGATTCCACTTTTTCTACGTCAAGTCAAAACAATTTCTGTCACTGGTACAATGAAACAAGAAAAGGCAAAGCTACGGAAAGAAGGAATGGATCCATCAAAGATTTGTGATCGTCTTTGGGTCTATCATCGAGTTAAAGGAACTTATGAACCTCTTACAAGTGATATGTATCACAATGTAATTACCAATTCTCGTTTATAGGATGACAACTGTTTTCAGAAATTTGAAAGTTGGTTCTGTGCTTATCGAAATGTTCACTTAATTGTCCCAATCATCATGTACAAAATTTGCATCAGCGTGAACTCCAGCAATAGTCTATACGACAGAAATAGTGAGTACATTTAACAATCTCAAGCAATATGTTTCATATGCGTACAGAGTACGAATTCTTCGACTTTGTCGATACATTGTTGTCCTCTGCGTCCCAATCATCATCTACAAAATTATTGTCCGGTGCAATAGTCGAGATGAATGTTTTATCGTGATTAGAAGCAGTCGATGGAGATTGTTCACTTCCGTCAAGGTTTTGTATTGTCGATTGAAGAATTGGCTCAACTTGATTATCGTCATCATGAAGTAGACTCGTTGATGACGTAGCAGGTTCTCGTGGACTTTCATTCTCATTCTCATACAAATCTTCTTCTTCACTGTCAGACATAACATTTTTACACTGTTCAAAACTTCCTTCAGATGTCGATCCGGATTTGATCTGTGCGACAAGTAAACTGCGTGTACTGCTATTTGTCGAAGGTCGAGAACTATCGCAATGATCTTCATTACTGTCACTTTCATTAGCTTCACTTTCAAGCTTTGAAACGGATTCTTCATTTTGAAAATCTTCGTCTTCGCTTTCATCATGTGAAGATTCAAATGAAGAACATGATTGCCGCTTTTCTTCTTTTGACTCCATTGATCTCAAGTTTCTAGTTTCATTGTCGTCGCTATCTTGAGGACTAGAATCTTGATAATGAACTTCCTTTTCTTTTCTATTGCTATCATATATCGATGGTTTGAAATGTATTTTTTCATCAGCATTTGAATCACATTCATCATTCGTTTGTTCTTGATCTTTTTGATATTCTTTAACGTCTTTTGACGTATTCAACAAAGAATAAACTTCATTGTTTAATTGTGGATTGCAAAGCTTGTAAAGACTGTCCGACCAAAGTCGATGTTCAACCGAAGTCTCACCTTTAAGTCGAAGTGTACGAGACGAAGAAACAATTTCAATCATTTCCTATAAACTAGAAAAGTTAAAACAAAATCTTCAAACACTTCTACATCAACTTCAAACCTTTCGACAGTAAACACTTTGAATATCTTTAACATCCAGCCATCCACGAGGATCCTTTGCATTCCTTCAGTATCAAATGAAATCATCTCTTTTTCAAACTTAATTTAATAACGACGCACTTGTTAGTTGAGTAGGAAATCACGAGCTTTTTAGAATCGGAATCAGCATTAAAAGCCACTTTAAACCATCGACGACTTGTACTTTTACCAAAGAAACTTGGCTTGCTATTGATTTTAATCATATAACCTTCTAGCTTCGAGATATCAACACCATTTACCAACATATTCTACTTGATGCTCAATAAAATAATATTGAGTAGTTACAATTTTTTCATTGTTTTCTAAAAAAGCACAAACTGAAACTCCTACATTCGAAATATCCCATTTTTTGGTAAATTACTTAAAAAGCACAAGCCATTTGTGGTATTTGCACAGGTAGTCGATGCGTCATCACTTGGTGTGTAATAAAAGCAGCAAAATTTTGAATTCCACGCGATGATTGTGGCATCATAAAATGTGGAAATAGTGTAAAAACATGTGGCATATGGTTATTAATATCCAATTCCACTTGTACCCCATCGGCTCGTGCATTTTCAGCCAATTGTAACGATTGATGATGCAAAATATCAAATTCTGCTGCTTGTATAAATAAAGCAGGTAACCCTCTCAAATCCGTTTGTAACATCACTCCTTCGTACCAAAAAGCTCGTGGTGTTGTCCGAATACAAAAGTCACGAATGGCATCTAACATGGATTTTGAAATAAAACAATGATCTGATACTGACACATCTGCGGACATATCAGCGTATGGACAATTACAAAGTGCTGCCAATGGCATCTCTCGTTCAGCTTGTCGTAAACGTAATAATGTAGCAAGTACCAAGCCACCACCGGCACTATCACCTGCGAGAATAATATTCTTTGGTACCACTTGTTCGTCGTACACGAGGTAATTAAACATTGTCATGGCGTCATTTAAAGGAGCTGGGAAAGAATTTTCGGGTAATTTACGGTAATTTGCGAGTAAAATTTGTACCTTGATCCCTGTAGTACCTTGAAGTTGCTTTTGCACTTGATTTAACAACCGACTGGCAAATTCGACAAAAAAATGAGGACTGAACAAAGTGTAACCTCCACCATGAAAATAGAGTACCACGACACGTCGATTGTAACCTCTAGATTTGGTACGATCTTTCGAGCACAACCATAAATGTTCCAGTCCATTATATCGAAAGCTCGTGAGTTGATTTCCATGACGCCAACACGCTATTGCACCTAAGACTCGTCCAACAAGTTCAAAATTACGTCGAAATGCTATTGCATTGGCAATTTTAACAATATGACGACCATTACGTTGACCAACAGCAATTGCAATCGCTTGAAACCATTCGTACCATAATGTCCACTCTGGAAATTTTGGTTGAAATCCTCGTTTTATTGATTGAAGAACTGCTTTATTAGCTGCAGCAAAGACATGACCTGTTAAGATAAAGACTTCAGTGAATGAAAGACAAAAAGGACGAAGCAATTCATGGATTCCAAGCATAAGCACGAGTTTCACAAGAATCAAGACATGAGCTAATCTGAGCCACTGCAAGTGCATTGCATTGATCCAAAGTAAGAAAATCGCGAGAATCAAAAAGATTGGAAGTGTGTAGATTGCATTGTAACCTGATCCTTGGAGGGTACAAACGTGCTTGTAAACTTGTTGCATCTTTAATGAGGTACAGATTGCAAATCGGAAAGTGAAAATAATTGCATTTCTTTGATGGGTTACTTTGTCTTAGACTTTACTTTTTCACGACGTGGTACTAATTATTGACGTAATAAAACGCAAGCAAAGGTACTAGTTTCAATGACTGCAGTAATATATTGTACCACTTCCATTGTCGTTTACAATGATCATGCAAGTGGCTCGTTTTATTGTATGTGTGGGACTTGAGTCGTCATAAATGTTGTCCTAGCGTAATTCTTTTACAAGGACGACACCAGTAGAACGAGGATATGTGGAAGGTGACGCCTTTGATGGCTTTTGCTTCTAATGTTCGTTATTATAAGTACCACGACTTTGAATTTGGTAGAAAAAATGTTTAAGAAGTTGTGTTGAAATTTATACGATAGATTTACAAAGTTTAGGTGACATATCCACTTTGAGAATTAATTCAAGTTTTATACCGCTCCTCGTAAATTAAATAACTTTATTTTCTCTATTTTAGAAGGCGACATGGTAATATTAAGCGACAGCTTAATTTCTTAAATTTGTTCATGCATCACTAAACTTATAAATTTTAGCATGGTTTCAAGGTCGTGTGCTTCTTCTAAACAACTTAAAATTTAATGGAATTGCTTTATAAGGACTTTTCAGCGAATTTTATACTGTGAATTCTCACTTATGGCTGAAGTGGAGACCGATCATGGACGTAGGTGAGTTCTCGACCAGTTGATCATCTATATTGCTGACTCAATACTTGCTTTCGAGTCAAGGTGATGTCGAGAATTTCATAAAAGATGGATATCCTTTGATTGCTATCTTAGCACCACTAGCAATAAATTGTGGTCATCAGTTCATGGTAACCTATGAGAAATATTTTATTGTGCAATAAAAGTCAGAGTTACTTTCGACATCTCTTAGCGAGCCTAGCGGTATAGCTTTCATCAGCTATTTCCAGCGAAAAGTTTATTGTTACGTTGCTTCATTATTTCGGTGGTCTTAATCCTCATGCGATTGTTTGGTTTCCCTAAATCACTATTTCATGTAAATTGCTTCGAACTTGTCAAATACCTTGAGCCTTCTCTGTAAGTAACTTTTTCCCACCTTATAACTACTGCTAGAAGCCATGTTTACGAAGTATCGATATCGTGTCGGTTTGGAGCTTGATCAACTTCTAAAACGACAATCCAAAGCCCGACATGGCGTCAACAACATCTCCAGCACCACTGTCTTGACTGAACTCTCCTACTTTAATCAGAGGCCTGGCTCTTAATCCGAGAACTTGGTCTGTGCTAAATGATTTCGGTGTGAAATCATACATCCTGCTTTAACATTACATGTCACTCAATCACTGCGTTTAGTTTAGTGTATCCTCACTCCAATGTTTGAAGAATGATCAATTTTAGTCGTGCTACAACATAGAAGCTTCTGTTTGTAGTTTAAAGTGTATAAGAACATAAATCTTTTCAGCTTCTTTGTGCTATTAAAAAGACTAAGGTTTTCCAGTCAGTCGATTTGTCGCCACCATAAATTCCCTTTCATTCTGTCTGCCGTCTACCGTAGCCTACACAAAACTACTTTCTGCAATCAATCAAGACCATCGAGTTACCAAGTTTGAAACAAAAATTGCGCATACTAGAGTGCGATGCTGCGATGATTTTCAAAATTTCAGTTATTTATCGCTGCGTGAGATGGTCAATCCTGTTGTGCCAACATATTACACCTTTGACGATAGTATACCGAGGATGAGCTCCAAGTCTCGTCGATTGGCACAATGGTCCTAACGACTTGTTAAACAAGTATCGTGCACTACAGTTGAGCTGCTATTTTACGTCGTAGCAGGGTATACAGCGATTAGTTACAAAATGCTGTGCGACAGCAAATGTCACTTAAAAATTATTGTTTGGTACTATATGAAGCAGCGTGGCAAGTCTACCGCTGGTCACATGATTATTCTAATCCTCACCACATGGATTGGCAAGCCGACCAGCTTCAATAGAATGTTTACAATCCATGCTTTATAGTTTTTGATCGTTCTTTCAAACGACACGTCCAATAATATCGATATTCTGACATTTGAGGATCGTCTGAGCAAGATGACTCATCTAGGTACTGTTAGCAATACTGTAACAAGTGCGGATACATCTGTGCTGTTCTTCGTTAAAGTAATTTACCAACAGGACTTGCCAGTAGCCATTGTACTATTCTCCGCCGCTGATCTACCTACTGCTTTGAAGTGGCGCGGCGCTGGCGGTACGCAGTACGATGGAGAAACTCAGATAAAGAAAATCGAGCTCATCTCAACCTCGAATACACGCCGTGACTCTGTGAAGGGGTTAATGTGCCCCCAAATTGAGAGATCTCGTGAGCGACAGCCGCGGGAGGATCAACCTCCGCGGGCTTTGCTCGATTAGCTGGGCCAGTTGCATGTGGAGCGCTTGGTGGGTCTGCAGGTTGACCAGGACTGATAAAGTGAAATCAGTACTTTTGATCTTATGAGACGTGTGAGATTGAAGTTCCCCAACGGCGAGATTGCCCTGGTGAAGTGGACGCTCACAATCTGAAACACCCTAGACTGATATGATTTTGAAAAACTGGTAGATCTCTTGGCGTGACGCGCTTACCACTATCTGAATCAGCGAAGGGGCTAACTGTCCTCCGAGAACTTATGGGAGTTTGTGGCGTCAAATGGCATTTTTGTCTTACAACTCGACATACCCTCTATCTTTGTGGAAGCAGAGACAGCACACTCCAGCTCAGCGCGCTTCACACTGGCGAGTGACACCGGCCTTATATTAGCGGCGGATATTGACCGGTTGTTGATCAGGGGACAAGAGAAGTATTGCCAGCACAAAGTGAAGAAGACGGCAAGTGCTTGCCTCGACTTTGACATCTCGCTTTGCATTTCGCAAAGCTTAAGCATCAATTAGTATTCTCGTCTGATATCTGTTATAATTATTTTGGCCTGTAAAACAGCAACCGGCTTGACAACGCCTTATCTTTTCCGAAAACTAAGTTTTGAGCCATACGTAATTCGAGTTGTCGCCATATTGTTGTTTCAAGTAACAAGGCTCTGCCTTATAAGTGCTGCTGGGTTTACGTTGCTGGATCTTATAAATGTTGCGGTATGGCAAGTCTCTCCGAGAGAATATCTTTGCATCCAATAAGTTTTCCAGACATGTTAGCGAGGCTCTACAACAGTACTACATGTAATTGGATCACAGGCCTTGACAACGAAGATTTAATGGCTTTATCAAGTTTGTACTCTGCTATCAACAGCATGTCGTGAGTAAGCTCACAAAAAAAATCAGATGTGATTCGGGTACATCAGTGTGAGTCCTTCTCATATTAATTACGACCGTGAAAGAGTCTAAAGTGGTGAGGGCGTTAACAATTCGACTGCAGCCACTGCATGTCTAAATAGGTCAGCAGATCTAGATGAAAATATTTTCCTCCACATCCAGTTATGCGTTTATCGCCTGCCCTTACCATATGCATGCTGTTCTGTATATCTTCATGTTTAGCCAAGGCATCACGCACTTGTCAAATGATTTTAATGCTTTAAGATAACATGATTTATTCTGCTTCATAATATAGCCGAGTTAGTACTATAAAATCTGTATCATCGACAGCCCCTCCGCATCAAGACCGAAATTGCCTCGTAACAAAAAGGAAACGAGACAAACCGAATCATTTTTGAAAAGGGTGTGTGATCTGTAGAAGCAGACAATGCGCTACATAATGACTGAGTTTGTTATATTTTAAGCTGCGATACTAGGTTTGGTATATATTTTCTGCCATGCGATTGGCGCGATCAGTCTAACTAGTACTTTGGGGATGGTGAGCGGTGGACATATTTAATTCGGTGCTTAGCAGCGTGAACGAAACTCGTCGACCGTTTGCTGTAAGTACAAATCTTGTTCAGAACTAATAACCACAGGTAACTTTGCTGGAAGTGCAATTTTTCGCTCTGAACTAATGGCCACATGCAAGTCTGTTGTCAAACATCTTGGTCGAGGGAAATCTTGGCTGTATTTATCGGTATTTATAGCGCTGATAACAGGGACGTGAACCAAGATGTCTAAGCGATCCACAAATGCAACAGTGCATGTGTTACTGAGCGCATTATCTGGTAAGCAAAAACTAAATACTCAAGGTCTGGAAGCACTTGACTGGTGCCAACAGTTAAGTCAAGGGCGCAAGAAATACGACGAAGAATTTATTCGTGGACTAAGTTTGCACTTTTGCACATACTCGCTTATCTATTTGATATTTTAAGCTTATAATCAAAACATAGCGCTCACTGAGGCGAAGTATTTTCTGTCCTAAATGAACTTTGCCCACTTATAACAATATTTGCAAATAATGACTCTCTAGAGGACTATCATATACCTAATTTGATATTCAGAAGTTGAGATTTTCATCACGGGGTACATCCACACGTTATCTCGAACGGGTCTACGATGTTCTACCATAAGCTTTTAGTCAAAAAGTATATATATGCTTCAAGCCCATATAAACCGCTCTTTGTTACCTCAAAGTCTTCTTACAATTTAAAGCTTTTAGCGCAACACACGTAGTTTCCAACCTCTGCGGTTTACGTATCGCATGATTGATCTGTGACCTCATATGACAATCAGTAGTTTGAGCAAAGCAAACGTATCCACCATTCAAAAAGCGCCTGATAGGCTTACAGTTCACCCGATGATATTTTAACATAAGGATTAAGAATGTGGTCGCAATGCACAACGAAATCGATGTATGATCAGAACACATCAAGAATTCGCTACTAGCTATACAGGTGAAACCTGGAGCATACTTCACACCATAGCTGCATCATATAAGCTGCGCAGGTATTTTTAGCCGCTTTTAACTGGCATAATGATATATGATGTCAATTTGCGTCCGCTTGAGGTTGAGTGTAGCCTATAGCAGATCACTTAGCCTCACACACGATGTGATATAGATTTTAGATGTGAAAGGTCGCATATGAGAGAATTTACACCCGTGATAGCGGCATTGTCCATGCAAGAATTACCCGTGATGGCGGCATTGTCCATGATTCGTTTGGTGAGAGGCTTTTCCAGATAGGCATTCTACCTGGGCAGTCGATTCGCCATACTACTTCCATATTTTCTTATTAAGGTAGCAGTTTTAGCCAGTCTTCTATGAAGTGAATATTTGCGACTTTATCTTTGAGCTTTGTACCCAGAGAAGAATCCTAGGTTCTGTCATTGTCAAATTGATAGTATTGGCAATCAGCTTATTTAAGAGCATATATGAACACTGTTTGCTAGTGATCATTGATTAAAATTCGGAAAGCAATTGTATAGCGACTATCCCCAATCTTTCCACGGGTACTTTTTTCTTTTGCTGAAAATCATAAATCTGAAAATCCTATGGATGTTGGATCAGGTTGGGGACCTCATCGTAGCATTTACGATCACATGTTTTGTAAAACAAGAGACGCCCTTGTCCAGGTACCAATGTTACACTATTGACATTTTCTGTGCCAGAAAGGCTAGCAATGAGTGATATATTGCACATGCTTTCAATAAGCTACTGCGGTCACTGTATTGGCGCAAGCGAGAGAGGAAATGTATCGGAACAGCAAGGTTAAGCTTGGTTTCACAGCTCAACTGACTTGCTCAATGGGTACTATTGTGATCCAAGGCTATATCTCGTATAACGGCAAATGTCTTGAGTGCGACTGCTGATTATCCCAGCTGACTAACTCGCCGGTGATATTTAAACGTCATGTGATTCGGCTGTTCAGGCCGTTGCATTGTACAAACCAACAGACTTTGTTAAATTTAGATCTGTCCAGATTCGGTTAGGGTATGAGAATTGGATGTGGACGTTCATTCATCTGCAACAGAGGTGTTCACGTCCGAGTAAGAGCGGGTTCGTAAAGTAGCTCTAGCAAGCCCACAATGAACATTAAGAGTGTTCGCATTATTGAGAGCATAACTTAATTTCTCTCTCGAATGATCATGATCGGTCTTATGCCACGCGTTTGCAACTTTGTCATCAAGACCACAGACACTGCCCGTGTAGATAATTTAATGCATTTTTTATCACAACATACTCGTGCGTGTTTTGTCAGCCTGAGGCATCGGCATGTCGCTGTTTTGTGTTTTGGATCCCAGCCATAACGTTACGGCATCCTACGCATGACGTTAAATCTCATAGATACAAAGTCGCTGATTTTGCTTTGAAATGTAGCCGGGCTGATATCATCAAGTCGCTTTTTCGATACCACTACGACTCTATTCACTTTGTGGTTGGGCTAAAAGCTCCCGCAAGATAATCAAACCATTGCGTAAATGAAATAGCTTTTGTGTTGGCATTTCATACATTATGCAACGTAAATTCAATGAATGAGGACAACTCGCTCCAGCAAAGCGGTCTATACGCGCAAGTGCTCCAAGAGAAATATTTTACAACGTGGTTAATGCATTCTAGCTGACCATGTGGTTAGCGGTTGACTGCCCAATCTGACACCGAGAACCTTATAAAATATTTGTCATAACTTCGCTTTAAAGCGCGGACCGCGTCGGACACATTTAAATTGATGATATGATCGGCGCCTCCCCAGGCATCAACTGCACCAACTTTTTTTCATTCTTTGCATTCACTCCCTAGCAACAATATCTATGAGAGCTTTGTGTGATGTAGTCCCCCTAGCAAAAGAGTTAAGTGTGATGTAAAGATGACAGGCTAATGTCCTCTTGGGCTATTTCTTCATTCAGTAAATGAATCCACTGGCTTGTCACACACCTGTGAGATTTCAATTATATTAACGGCGCACAAAATTCTCTGCCTCAGCTGTACGGTAAAAAGGTGACAAGATGAACAGCCCTTATCAACATCATGGCCTGTTAAACTCGCAATTCAAAAATTCGTGTCGTCATGTTGGTTTGACCTGGGAACCGTGACACTAAGCTGCTCCAAAGGGTTCTGACAAGGTCATCAGCCTAAAACCCGCGACATACAGTCTACCTTTTCCTTTCCATCAAGTTTTTTCTGAGACCCCAGCGCGAAGCTGTCCTTGCTCGACATAACATGATGTATCCCGAGAGGCCGCGATCATACAGCTACGAACTCCTTATTCAGCTGAAAAGTACTCCCGATAATGCAGCTTATAGTCGTCTTTCCCTTTTGGCCATTATATATAGCTTCTGATATTATTGTTGTTGCTAATGGTGCAGACAACTTCATGTAATCAATCAAAGCTGTCATAGCATCGCTCCCAGGATAACAGATGAGTTTTAGCTGAGGTCAGTCAGACCACAATGAAATGGCACCGCATGCCTTCAGCTTTTACTTGACTTATGCTAACATTTGTCAGCCATCATATATCTAGTCTAAATCTGTATATCGCTGAATGCACAGCATACAAGAATAACGACGCGTTTAGAATATATCGGAATTGCCTACGGCGTCACATATCCGATTCTTTAATGTTAATCTGGACTCTGGAGCCAAACCTGAAGGGAAACTACCTTTATCTCAACTTCCAATTACTTAGTGTCTATAATTCTCATTCGTTTCTACTGGGTCATTCTTCACCTACAGAGCCTACACGTCTCCCCGCAAGTGATCTGCCGGTAGCGCCTGTGTGGAATTTAAATTTTAGTATCTTCTACTGATCTATGAAGACAAGACCCGGTGGCATGGGTCGAGTGGTCAATGCTTCTGGACCTTACGCTATGTGGTGCGGGTTCGAGCACCTCAGCGGACAAAATCGTAATCGTAACAGACATGCAAGAAGTGTCGGCTGCATGCTAAATATTACCGACAACAGCCAATAAGGACTTCGGGATGGCGAC